ACTAGCATATGCCTAGGAGGCAAATGAAGCGTTCCCGTCTTCGGTTTCGATACAGTCATGTCTCTCAGTCTACACCCATTGATTAGACCCCGAAACCAGGAAACTTACCGTTACCTAAACGACCAAATGCTCTCGTTCAAGGTTGCATGTTTTTACACCTGTTCAGTGGTCTGGACACTGATGATTTTCTTCTAACCCAGATCTGTCTAGGTGAATATCGTGGGCGAAGGAAGCCAATCCGGCTACACTACTTGCCCGATTGTCTCACTGGACCCGTGCTATGCCTAATCATCAATATTAATTACAGATTGCGCTTCAACCCTCTTGTAAAGTTAAGAAAACAATTGGCTTTGTGTTTTGATTGCCCACGATGTTATTTCGCTCGGTGACGATAAACACTTCTCATAATCGCCATGTTGTTTAAAATTTCACCATGTGATTATTTTGATTTTCAAAACTCCCTTTCTGAATATTTTAGACTGTGGAAACTTTGCGTCACGGATAATCATTGAAACGGTTTTCACGTTTCGAATCGGGGCACAACTGAAGCTGTTTTATCCATACCGTTTGTATAAGCGGATCGAGTTTGGTTGGGGTTATCCTTGCTGTATTGTCCCCAAAACATATTTAGTTGGAACCTAGAAAGCGATTACTTGGAGAGAATTTATTCCCTTTTAGCAGTGTTGTTCTTATCCCCAAACTAGAAAACGAAAGGGTGCACATTTATCCGAAATCAGCATTACTTTCAAGTAAAATCAATCATTCGCCATGGAAAATCCCCGCCTACATCACCTATGCTCGATCTTCACTTTCCATTTACTGGCTAATTTGATGGATTCCTTGCGAAGTCGGAAAATGAAAACACACGTGTTTGACTTTTTTCATCCAAACTTCCACTCGAATAAAAATGAATCGGGATTCCACGGTCTACTTACTTCTGTGCGTCCAACTGCTTTTGTAACTCTTCAACTTCTTCCGTCAACAATTGACATCTGGTATGCAATTGAGCGTTCTGTTTGCACTCGTCTTTGGTTCGGTCCAGTTCATTGTTCGACAGACATCGATTGCGAGACAGTAGATCCTCCTTTATTTGGCGCAAGTTGGATATCTGTTATTGAAAAATTCACAGCAAATAGTGGTCAGCTGTCTTGAATAAAATCGTTGAAACTGTGGTGGGACCCAATTTGCACAGCTCCATCATTAATCAAGTGTCCAATATATTTTGTGAATGTTCAACTGCTAGAAAACCATCGAAGATTACTATGCTTTTGTGCAATACCTTTTCAGCGATAATAACAGAAGACGGTCATCCTCAACTAGTGAAATCCTACCAAGATAGTCAGTTGTTTAATGAGCAGATAACTGCGGATTAAATTGGCCTCTACCTCTTGTCAAGGGGTTTTGTTCCATATTGTTAATTGTTTTAGTTTTGGGAATTGATTTTTTTAGCTGGAAATCAAAATGTCATAACTTTTTCTTTTCGAACCACACCGTGACAAAATTCCTTTTTTTGAATTGCAGAGAGTACCTGTGTTCCACCTCTTTTTATCAGGCCTATTTAGTTTGCAATTATCTGACGGATGAGCGAAAACCTTTTTTCGAATGAAGAAGAACCCAAACAAAAGCCAACCACTTATCACATCAAGTCACGTTTTTCTATTCACATTACCTCAGCTTCGTACAAAATTTTCTGCTGTGATAAAGCTGCCTGAGCATCAGACTTTGTCAATTCCATTCGCGATTGCAGTGTCGTAATTTCTTCATTTAGTCGCTTGTTCTCCTCCTGTGCGCTCAGTATGCACGAATGAGCCCGGTCGATTTCGCTCTCAAACTTCTGTTGCAATTCGTCATAGATCTGAAACAACAAACATGGAGCGATTACCGAATAACTTCGCAGTCAACACCATGTGCTTATTTTGGTTCTCAAAGAGATAAAATTGTTACCAATAAGAAGCTGACTGGCCTGTTTGTTAAGTTACTGATCAAGTTCAAACGCGATCAGCTCTCGACTGCGAAAGACAAATCGTCCTTCATGTGAGTCGACTGGCTCAAATTTGAACAGAACTTATTCCGTGAAAGATCAAATTTATGTTTTAAACATTTACATATTAGCACTGGAAGTCCATCGTTGCCAAGGTCTAAACGAATCCATTGACTCCGTCTGTTGTGAGGTACTAGTCACGTTTGTGAGTTGTATGCAGAGTAGTGCGGTTAGCGGTTTCCTTCTGTGATCAAAAAGTAACAAGACCACCGAGGACGAATCGCTGTATCCCAAAGAATAAACACTGAGACGGTCATTATTGTACATTTTGCATGGCCAAAATAGCCAGTGAAATGAAATTAACTTCTTCATTAGGGAATAGTCAAACACCGTTTCACCTGGTAGACAACACCGGAGATCGTTTTATGCCAGTCAATGAGACCATTTGCAATGAAAGTGGACAGAGATTGCGCAATTATGTTATTATATTTCACGCTTGTCTGAGGCTAGACTGTGTGTTAAGCAAATCATGGTACAATAGTCTTTATAAAAAAGAAAAGCCTTCCATGATTGGCTTGTGGGCTGAATACTATTAGGTTGCCCAGACCAGGTCTGGTGCTAATGCAGTTATTCCGGCAATTGCAGCGGAAACTATATAGGTGGCAACATTTGAGTCCCCATTAGAATTATACGTACGAGGCTGCAATCAATCTTTAAAGAAAGGGAAGGCTGCAAAACCCAACAGGCTTATCCCCATCCTTTTCAAGCTGGATTGTGCCTCCTTCATCCACTTGTACCCTAGCCTACTTTGTAGCATCTGGTCGGAGAAGGGCATCCTTTTATCCTGGGGTGAATCGTTGACCGTTCCGATCTTCGAAAAGGAATCACGCAACGACTGCGTAAACCACGGCGGGATACGCTTAGTTCCGATCATCAAAAAATTATTGGCATCTGTGATACTTCGCCACCTGACATCCATGAGGAAGATCAATATTCACGAAAAACAAGCAGAATTCCGACCATGTCGCAGTTGCGGTGACCAAATCTTCACTCTGCATCAAGTCCTCGAATCTAACCACACGAATCGTCAACCAACATTCGCAGTGTTTTTGATCTAAAGGGAGCCTTCAATTTGGTTGACAGTGATTCCCTAATGGGTTCCGTGCTTCGTAAAAGAATGCCACGGGAGCATATAAACCTGTTGCGATCGCTTCACCTGCATACTTCGGACAGCATAATGGCCTGTGGTGGAATAAGCAAATGGCTCAAAATCAGCAGCGGCGTTCTTCAAGGGTGTCCTATTTCGCCATTCCTGTGCAAGTTCGTTGTATACAAAATACTGGATAGAGCACTAAGTCTTCAGGATTGAGGGCAGGAGGCAGGGTGCCCGTGTAAGCTCCATCACCACTGGGTTGAAGGTCCGATCAAAAGTGTTCGTTCCTCCATAGCCCTTCAGGTGCTCATCCAGACGCCGTTTGAAAGCAGCGTCTGTCTTCTCTTCCACCACAATCGCTGGAGGGGAATTCCAGAGTGTTGTTGACCTACGCGAGAGTCAGTAGACTAACTGAAGACCAACTGACTGAAGTTTCCGCAACGTGAGAGAGTGCCCCCGCGTGCGGTGCTCTGTCCGTAAAGGGAAGTACTGTAGCAGCTCCGGGCCCATATCACTTCTCAGGATCTTCCTCAGGCAGATGAGATCTCCTCTGAGGCGTCGATACGCAATTGTGAACAGACCAGTAGCCTGTAGGCGACCTTCATAGCTGATCCCGTGTAGTCCAACAACGAGTCTAGTGGCAGCACTTTGTACACGCTCCAACTTAGCCAGTTCACCGGCCGTGCAGAAGTATGTCGCCGCACCACCATACTCAAGTTTTGGCCTGGCATGGGAAGCGTACAGCAGCCTGAAAGCGTCCATCGTGAGTTGGTTGAAAGACCGCCGAATAGGCCCCAGAATGTTCCATGCGCTAGCACAGTCCCGATCGGTGTTTTCTCGGGTCTTTAGTGATGACGTAACCATAACACCCAGGTCTCGTTCGCACGATGTTCTGCGCAATGAGGTTCCCTGGAAGTTGTAGGCTACCTCTGAGTTAGCACGCCCCAAGTGCAGGTGAGCACACTTTGCTGTGTTGACTGGAAGAGCCCAGGTATCCGCCCACTGAGCAAAGTTGTTCAAATCCGCTTGAAGAGAACTTCGATCATTCGGATCCTTGATTTTACGCCAGATTTTGATGTCATCCGCATACATGAGGGATGGGCTGCACAGCTGACCGGGTAGGTCGTTCACATATATCACAAAGAGCAATGGACCAAGAACCGAGCCTTGGGGGACCCCACTGGGATTGGAACACCACGCAGAGAGCGATTTACCAACACGGACGCTTCCGATCGATGAGAAAGTCTCGCAGCCAATTCCGCATGACCACACCTACACCTAGGTTGGACAGTTTTCGCAGAAGGAGGTCGTGCGGCACCTTGCCGAAGGCCTTGCTGAAGTCCACGAAGATGATGTCCGTTTCGTGTCCTTTGGCCTTGTCCTCGGTCCAGCATTCACGGGCAAGTAGCAGGCATGGGCGACCCGGCCGGAAACCGTGTTGTTGGTGGTACAGGTGACCGTGGCACACCAAATGCTGCCGAAGCCGTGCAGCCACCAGTCGCTCTATTACTTTACCCACAACGTTAGTAAGGCTGAGTGGTCGGTAGTATCCAGGGTCACTCGTATCCCCAACTTTGGGCAGTGGAACAATGACAGCGTCCTTCCACTGCCGCGGTAAACGCCCTTGAATGAATGACAAATTGAACAGGTTGCACAGTGGCGCTGCAAGTTTATCTGCCAGCTCCTTCAGGATCAGCGGATGCACACCATCAGGTCCAGGTGACTGGTGAACCTTTAGTCGACGCAGTTCCAGGGCCACCTCTCCGATGGTAAATGGGGTCCAGTTCAGCGCAGTGTCAGTGTCTAGTAGATGTGCCAGTGTGCTGGAGTCTGGGGTGTACACTGAGGTATAATGTGATGCCAGCATCTTCGCTTTGTCCTCATCTTTTTCGGCTAGTGCCCCATCTTTGGCGAGAGTCGGGAGACCAGGCGATGTCCAAAATGTTAGCATTCAATGAGTAGCTGAAGAATAGCTGTGCAATTTACAGTGCGCTGACGACGTGGTCTGTCGATTTGAATGTATAGAGAATGCGCAAAGTGCTCTTGACAGACTTTCAAGTTCTGTAATTCCATTTGGTGTGTTTTGAAACATTCAAAATGCAAAGTGATCCTACAATATTTGGTGTCGTCTACCCCAGCACCGATGCATGATGGTCAAGAGTTAGTTATCGCGGATCGTTTCTCCTATTTAGGTTATTGTGTGACAAGTGACGATAGCGTAGTCAAGGGAGCAAATACCCGTGTCTCTAAGGCTCGAGCATCGTGCGCAGGACTGAAACACCTTTGATGCCGACGAGCTTTTTTGTTGAAACTGAAAGCTCGCGTCTAATATGCCAGTGTGCGGTCAGTTCTGCTTTACGATTGCGAGACCCTAAATTTTTGCGTGAAAGATATTTATTGTCTAGAGGTCTTCGACTACCGATATTTACGTAGTTTGGCGCGTGTTGAATGGAGTGAGCGCGTAGGTAACCCTGAGGTAAGTCGTCTAGTATTTGGTAATGATGCGGTGGGAAATTCGTCATCATATTGAATTCAGATTATTAGGCTTTTTTGGCTAGGACACGTATTACGTACGCTCAGGTGTCGTCTGCCACTCCGCGCTTTATTCGCTGTAGTAGCTTCGGGCTGAAGAAAACCGCATGGAAGTCAACAGATCAAGTGGAGAAGAGGCATGAAAAAATGCACAGAGCGATTAGATAGAGTAGATGTTTCTCATCTTCCATGTTGGGGTCCAAAAGACTCTCCAACTGGCTGATTGGAAACACTGAAGTATATAACAACTAACCGGCAGCAGTGGCGTTCTTGATATCATTTTTTTCAGGCCAGAATGCTTGAAAAGGTACGTATGCATTGTTAGATTGTATACTCTGTGTGATGACCATAGAGATTCACTTTTTTACCTCCCTCTCGTTAGGCCCAAATCCTATTCATCTCACCTATTTTGTGTACACTGAGTGCCTGACAGCGATCAGCAACTTTCACTTCTCTATGCCTCGCTGGATGATGAGTATGGTGGTGATGATTTTTCTGCTTGATGAGCATTATCACAAGAACTTTCCTATCCTTTCTTGTAAATCAGTAATATAATTAATTGGGACGATCCCACTATCCCTTCTTCTTTCTCCCACAGTGAGTTAGTCATTTTGTTAACTCCAGGACTAAGAATAGAAATGCATTGCTTCTTGTGGTCATTCGTTTGTACGTTACAGTAATCTGGCTTCCAACTATGTGCCATGTAAATAAAAGGACCGCGAAATATAGTGCAGCCAAGTTCGTTAATGTCTGCCGAGCTCAAGATTTGTTCAAGATGACTTCCGATATATGCATAGGCAAGATTTTGACCTTCTTTCGGTGAAAGAAGAAGGTGAAACACTATGACCAACACACAGTGTGTACAAATTGGGTGTCGAAATACACTACTTCAAGCGCTCTGCTATGCGCAAAACTCACGCTAAGAAAGGTATCCCTGTGATGCCCCTCTATTTATTCAACCAAACTAGTGAAACCTAGCTCGGATACTAGTTTAGAAAATTAAATATACCTTGCCTATTTTTTCATGTAATCCTACCACCTTTGCCTTCACGTCATGTATATCCCCCCCACCCCCACCTTGAAAGGGAAACTGCAAAAAGGGTGCACTGTAAAATACATTCACAAGATGTGTCCTAATGAGTGAATTCTGTTCATCCAAATTCTTGATGACAACGTATCTTTCGCGAAGATACTGTTTTCTTGACCGATCACTCCGTCCGGACATCGAGAAACGAATAAATCCACTCAGTATATGTTTTCCAAGTAAGAAACTAAAGGACCTACGATTGTAACACGAAACTGACCGCTCCAGCACTTCAACTAGAACGAAAATTCAAGTCAAGGCCTCATTAAAAACCAGCGTAAGAAAAGAATCTTGAATAAGGATTCTATGTGAATCCCGATGACAAGTTAATGTATTCCTTGCTAAAGTTCTTTCGCGTGTGGTGTTTTGTTTTGAGGATTTATACTACATCCGAGTTTCTCAATTGGGGTTTTCTACGTTGTGTACACGACAAATTCAGTTCTAAAGTAAATCTTGATCAATGCAAAACAAATCTATCTATATAAAGCAATAATACTTGGATTTACTATGTTAGCCAGTGTGCATGCAATATATACAATCCATTCACGATCTTACCCTCAGTCTGATAGCTTCCACCCACTGGGGATTCGTTTCAAACTGCATTTCCACCGGTTGTCCTGCTTGTAACGTGAAAATCTTATTGTTCGCCTCTTCCAGTTTGGACAAAGCTCTGCGTTCTTTCAACTGAAGATGTTTGGTCTTGGATTTCCAAGCTTCTCTAGATCGAATATAACTTTCCTAGATCAGGGGAAACAACAAAAGTCATTGTCCCTTTTCATTGACAATAAAAATTGGGCAAATGTAAATGAAAAAAGAATTATTATTATAAACATTATTCAACACTTTCATGAAAATTATATGGAAAATCGTCTATTCAGTTTTAATCATTAGTAGTCACCTAGTGTGTCCTAATTCGGGAATAGTATCGCTCTCATGCTGCCTTTCTGGTGAGATACATACAACAGACAGCAGTATCTTTTTTGCTACCGGTCAACTTGATTTACGGTAAAAACTAAGTAACTAGCAATCTTACTTGCTATCTGCGCAGAGAGTTAGAATTAATCTCGCATATGCTACATGTCATTCGTAGCTTATTTGAATGAATATGGTTAAAATGATAGAAACCACACACAGATTTGAGGTCTTTCAATTCTCTTACGAATAGTACAATGATGATGAAGTTAATAATAATAATAATAATATTTGACACCGATTTGCCGACAAGCATGGAAAAAAGTAAATAAATGGAATAACACTTTTGTGTTTCATTGTACACTTTTGATAATAGTAATAATGAAAATAATAAAAATACAGAAAATGATTTGTGATACCTTGAGTTGTTCATAGGCGGCCTTCAGGGTCTCATAGTTCCTTCTATGTTCCCAGGCATGCATGGCGCCTTCAAGATCATTCAGAGATAAGGCTCTTAAATCACTTTCATGGTGACTAGAAGCTTTCATCCTTTTGCTTGGTATTTCTTAAACGACGTCAATCCTCGCTGCAAATTAAAAAATAGTTTACATCATATGAACCGATTCCCATTTGAAGTGCAATCAAGCATACGCACATATTTATAGTACGATGCCACTCAGCAGGCAACACAATGATCATTTTAAAAGGACAAAACTGATTTGAAAATTTTATAAATCATACAAAGGGTATACTTTAGATCAGCTTTTTGGAAAATTAGTATTATCCTCAGATACCGGGCTAATACAGGGTAATATACAAAATAATCCTCAAGGGTTTTGCATTTATAATATTTGACTCGATTTATTCACAATTCAAATATATTCAATTGCAAAATTCTGACAATGAATAAAGGATCATTTCGCACTCTTTTTTAGGTTCCACCGTGCTCCAATGAAATGCGGTTTTCACACCCTACTCCGCTGCCTTGCGGGGTCAGACTTTAGCTAGTCAAAGGCTCCGGTTGTAGAGTACCGAAAAAATGCACCTGCATTAATCTGAGCACTCTGGCAGTATCGTGCACACACGCAAATCATCAATTTTTATTTTATGAAGATTATTGTGCTATGATGATATATCTATAAGCTGAGAAGTGGAGAAAATCGGCATCAGCAAGGCTACGAAAGACGTTTGTGAATCTGAAAACCCATTTTGATAAAACTCAATAATACAGAAAGTAAAACATGACAATGAGAGAACTTCAGGTTTCAGGATAAAATTCTTATTTACCCAAAATTTTACACCCTATTCACTAAACAGTTATAAAATTTGGGCTCTTATCGTCGAAGACTCAGAGTGTTGGATTGCTGGTTTACAGAAATTAATGTCTGCGCTTGTTTGCAACGCAGATTTTCTAGATATTGGCATTATTCAAGCTATTCAAGCACCGTGATAGCATCATTGATGAATGCTTGTGCACTGCTTCAGATATGTGAAACTAGTCAAGGAAATTGTTCTACACCCTAAGCGTTACTCGTTTGTTCATTCCTTTGGGCAGTTAACTTACAATTGTAACTCACAAAACCAAATCTAATGAAAACCATCTTAGAAAGAATGAATAGTTCCGGTGCGACTGATTCGTCTCGATCTCTGAACTGACGTATGTGCGTGCAAAAACTCCTTCTCAGTGCCAAATGTCTAACTGGTCTTTTAAGTGTCAGTGAAGCTAAATGGGACCAACGGGTTTAAAGTGTTTGCTCAAATGTTTTTTGATCATATGTGGTCTTGGAGATGTGACAAACTTACCGCTTGTACAGTGGCTAAGAGGGGATAATTCAGTGTTCTTGCTTTCCTACCTCCAACTCTTTTGGTGAATCAAGATTAAATTATCACACTTTTCATGTGACCGAATTCAAAGAAATCTAGGCATCCCTTGTATGCTATTTTTTCTCAATGTGTTCTGTCTTACTTTAAACTTATAATAGGCATGTTATACGCATACAGCAAAGTAGCAATAGGCTAAATTCATTGAATCTCGATCAAATCTCATTTTGCACCAGATATATGTACACAAGTCTTTGAACAGTAAGCGTTTATTGAAAAGAAAAGAACAGAAACAGGAAAAAAATAGGTAAATTATTCTAGTTAAATATTGGAAATAAAATAGATCGGGCTGTGTTTATATTATAATTATTGGATAGTGACTGCAACCGGTTTTTATTTTCGATGGTTTTACTATGGTACTGTGACTTTTCTCTGGCTGGGGTCAAATTTATTTGCATCTTATTAGTGCACTTGCCAGAAAAAGCCACATTTGGTAAATTATATTTATGGTAACAATATATATATATATTGTGAAAAGGAAAACAAAGATTCAATAAAAGAGTAGTTAATCTATGTTAAACGATTATTCTAATATAAAATATTTTGATAACAAAGCAGTATTCTGATAATGGAAACCAAGCACAACAATTTTTCGTTATCGTAAAATTTAACGCTGCAAATCAAGTAAAAATTAGTCAATTAAACCAGATGAATAATAATAGCAGTATTCAGCAAAAGAACATAAGAAATGTAAGGAAAATATTTAAATCACTTTCTACTGAAAGTTTTGAATCTGGGGATATAATCACTAGCAGGTTTAGAAAAAGAAGGCGCTATAATTGTTTTGGAGTTGGCAGTATGCTTGTCCGCAAACCGGTGTTATATATATATATATATATATATATATATATGTATTTATGTGTTTGCACGCATGCGTAAAGCTCGTCAGGAAGTTGCCAAAATAATACACCAAGGATGCCACTTGGGAATTCATTCGTTCTTGGTGGGTTGAATGTGCTTCAGGTGTTCCATCAGCTTTACTATATGATACAGAAGCAAACTCGTTGATAGAGAAGAACAGCAGCAAACATCAGATCTGGAACACTACTATTTAAGCCGCATTGTACTGGTTTGGTGCATATGTAATGTTCAAATGGTTGAAGGACATGCTTTGCGGTAGCCCATGCCGACAGGACTAGAGAAGGAGCATTATGCGTGTTGATCCGCTGCAAGTGCTTGATAATCAAAGGTAGCTGAGGTAAATATTACACTCGTCAAGGGATATGCTCCTTTAGTTTGCAATGCTTGTTGAGGCTAATGGCGGATGGATAAAAGGCTGAAGTTCGTGAAAGTACAACTTGATGTCAGTTTACAAGAGCCCAGACTAAAGCACTCGGTCAATTATGCTCAGAACAACGTACTTAAATTAATCAATGTTCAGAGACTTTCTGTGATACGACTGATAACTGGCCACTCACGTATTAGTTAATACCTTGGTAACCGTTACTGATTCTCCGAATCCAATGGCTGTGGCCTCAGCCCAATTACGAAAACATGTATCACTAATGAAAACTATTTTCTTTTCCTTCATGCGTCAATGTCAGCAAAACCCCATCTGATCTATTCTAACTCATTGCACCATGCAGGTGGTCAGCATAGCTTCCATTAGTACGGTTAATGTCGGACTATGATTCTTAAACCTAGTAACTTTGTTCATGACTGACCTGCTCCTATGGTCTCATCGAGCAACTCCAGCTACTAGTAACCAAATGTGAGGGTGGTCTCTGTTTCCTGTTGATCGGCATGATCAAGTTGACTATAAATACGTTTTACCGATTATTTTGTTATCATTGACTTTGATTTTTATTTAGTTTGATGATAATAGGATTAAAGTTATTACATAGATCCCACAGAGCTTGCTTCTCTACCAACGCACCTCACACTGCATAACCATTTTACCTTTTACCTTAACCTCTTCGGAAAGTTTTTAAACAACACAAATCAGTTCAATTCAACTTTTTCAACCATTAACCATGCACTTTCGTGAACCAGTTTTGGTTACTGTCTTTTGGTGCCCCATTTGGATAAAAGGGTAAAATGAAGATTGGAATGTTGAAAGCAATTTCAAGCGCAAGATAAAGAATTCATATGGAATAGTGATAGGGGAATAATGAGTGGATGCACGAGTGCCACTGTTTGCGACACCCAGCAATATCATTCACTGTCTCTAACCATCGGTGACCATCATGCTTAGGTCCTCATCCAGGAATCCTAATGGGGTCTACGTTACCTAGTCTCCTGGTTTAGGTTTTCATACCCTCATGCCAGGTCTTCGTTTTACCATTCTTGACCATTTGCCAACCGCTACCAGCCTTGGTAAACATCGCTCGCCGTAGCAACCTATCTGGTGACATGCGTAACACATGCCCAGACTACCGTAATCTATGCAGGTCAATCACTTGCTCCAGTGGACGACCGCGAATACCTAAAACTCTCCTCCTGACCTACGCATTGCTCATCCAGTTACCCCGCCAGACTCGTGCAATGCAACGTAGACAAAGGTGTTCAAACACGGACAACCTTTTTTTATCCTGTTCCAGTAAAGTCCAAGTCTCTGCACCATAAAGCAGTACTGGCCGAACCTCTTCATCATACACTCGACCCTTCACAGATAGCCGGATGTCGCGACGGCGCCACAAATGTGTCAAGTTGGCCAATGCCAACCGAGCCTTTTCTATCCGCACCGACACTTCATCTGTGATGTCTCCACCAGGTGAGGTATAGCTGCCCAGATAACAAAATTTATCTACTTCCTCTACTGCTTCCCAGGTAGGATGAGACTGGGTGCTGGACTAGCCAGACTTTCACTCTCGCACCTCTCAAACTGTCACCAAGGCAGTTTTTTCTTACTGAAAAAGTTTGAAATACACGTTAACGTGAGAGCGAGGCACAGTACGTATGCGTTACAAATGGAATTATGGTTTTTCTGTCATCATGTCATATAGCCTTCATGATTTTTGAAATTTATCAGCCATTTTCGTCATCTTCGATTAAAAATTTGATTTGATTTCCAAAAAGGCACTAGTTTAAGTCTTTCATGCGTTATTGCTGTTTATAATGGTAATAAGCCCCCATGTTGATCTCCTTCAATGAGAGCACTAAGTAAAAGAAACAGAAGCTGGAGACACTATAAAGATGTCAACACCCAGTTGGCATGGATGAATTATACATTCCAGAGGAATAGGACAGTTGGTCTTGTAAAAGTAAAAAAGAAAAAATATGAAATAAAGTTCACCAAAAATGTCAAGCAACAACCGAAAAGGTTCTTCAAATATGTTCAGTCGAACCGCAACTTGAGGGGCGCCATAGGCGCATTGGTTCTGGAAAACAACACGGTTGCAGCAGACGACAAAAGCAAGGCAACAAAACCAGGCAATTCTTTCTCTAGCTTTCATAGGATGGACAACCGGACATTAGAATATAGAGCCCCAACCTCTCTTCCTCAGCGCATAACAGAGCTGCAAATATCTGGAACAGATGTTCAAAGGGTGTAAGGGGAGTTGGACCTAAATGAGGCGCCGGATCCGGATGGTATATACCCCGCCATTGTGAAACCACTTGCACAAGCCTTAGCAGACCCTTTAAGGATGCTGTTTAGAAAATTTCTAGAGGCTCACGGCCAACTGGAAAACTGTCTTTATGGTGCCTTTACCCAAAGATGGTAGGATAATTAACCCACAGCGTTACAGACCAGTAAGATTAACTAGTATTCTATGCAAGCGTATGGAAAAGTAATTAGAGCCTATGTTTGTAAGAGAGAGGATAGAAGAAGGTAAAACAGAAGAGGTTTGTAACCTTGAGTTCGGTGAGGCGTTCAA